GACCTGCAGGAGAAAGTGAGGCAAGCATATGTGCAGGACCCTATCTATAGCGACCTCCTAAAGAGAGTTAGAGAGGCCCCAGAGACTGAACCAGACTACCGCACTATAGACGGGTTGCTGTCTGAGAAGACTAACGTGTTCGACTGCCTGTGCGTTCCCAACAGCGAAGAGATCCGCAGTTTGATTTTAGGGGAATGCCACGATACTGAAGGGCATTTCGGTTGGCAAAAGACATTAGCCAACCTGATGCGTGCGTATACCTGGCCAGGGATGAAGAATGACTGCATAGAGTATGTCCGCGGTTGTAAAGTGTGCCAAAGGAATAARTCTACTACACGCGCGCCCCTAGGTCTTCTCAGACCCTTGCCTATTCCGGATCAGCCGGGAGACTCCGTGTCCATAGACTTCATAGACACCCAAGTCAAGAGTAGACATGGTAAGAGCCAAGTCATGGTCGTAGTTGACCGTTTTAGTAAGTATGCAGTTTTTGTTCCTTGACTTTTGGGTTAGTGAGAATGGAATCCCATTGTCAATAGTTAGTGATAGAGATAGTCGTTTCACCAGCCAGAACTGGCAAGAACTCATGAGAGTCTACGGATCTAAGTTGTTAATGTCGTCCGGCCGTCACCCAGACACTAACCGTCAGACAGAACAGATGAACAAGATCCTACAGCAAGTTCTGCGCATGTACATTAGACCAGATCAGATTAACTGGGATGAGATGTTGCCTAAGGTAGCTAGTGCATACAACAACAGCGTGCATCTATCCACCTGCCGCACTCCCAATGAGTTGCACAAGTCCTTTAGACCACGCAGACCGTTCGAAGGACTGAACCGGGATCAGATTCACAGATTACCGCCCGGTACCAGGGAGTTTGCGATACAGCACGAAAAGGAGTTAGCCACTGTTGTTGAGAACCTTCGGAAGGCCCAGCACAGAATGATAGAACAGGCTAACAAGCACCGACACCCATCGCAGTTTCAAGTAGGCGACTTACTTTGGGTCAAAGCAAAAGAGTTTGCACCGGAAGAAAACATCTCGCAGAAGTTACTGCCTGCATATAGAGGACCGTGGCCGGTTCTAGAAGTCAAGGGCGGAGAGGATGGACCGTCCTACAGCATTGAGATTCCGGCACACCCCCACACATACCCTGTGTTCCATGCTTCAAAGCTGCTGCCGTGTGCCACTAGTCAACAGTTCCCTTCCAGGAGATCCATGATCCCACCGGATATGGATGGGAGCTATGACATAGACGGGATTGTAGAAGAGGATGTGTTTAGGACAGGCGGTAGAGGTCGTCCCCAGAAACAGTATAAAGTCCGGTTTGCCTATCAGGAACCGGAAGATGACCGCTGGTTCACGAAAGCAGAACTTCTAGAGACCGCTCCCGACATAGTCAGAGCCTGTGAGCGTGACAAGAAAGGTAAAGGTCCCGTCTTGGACTGAAATTTTCTCGGAGGACCTCGAATTTAGGACGGCGGGAGTGAAACGGTTTTCACCTTTTAGCAGTAGCGGATGCAGTACCCAGGGTTCGATCCCTAGACCTCACCTTACCCATGTACAGTATCTGTGTAGACCCCGGGCATTGAACCTGTGACCTGTGTATTCGTAGGCAGTTGGTAGGCCTGTCGTAGGTCCATAGGCAGCAGGGGTTCGATCTGTAGGTCTATAGCGTAGGAGTCTTAGTGAGTTCCGGAAGCTTAGCTGTAGACCTTCTAGAAGGTAGGCAAGTGGGCAAGTGGTCAAGTGGTGAGGCAAGTGGCGGACTAAACCGCAGTGCAGCAGCAGTACAACGTTGGTAGGATAGCGGTGAGTCCACAGTCAGTCAGGGGAAGGTCCAGTCAGTCCCAGTCCGATCCAAGTACCACAGGGGGACTGTGAGCACCAAGGGCCGATGGCAAAGAGCAGACCAACGAGTTTCTGAAGTATAAATCAAGAGGCAGCGCCCAGCCATTCATTCATTCCTGCGTGAGCCATGCGGAAGCGCTGCCACAGCGACTTRTGCAAGGAGGTCTGCAGATGAGCCCGGAGGACGCAGTGGGCAAGAGAGAGGGAGTTAG